CGTTCCGGGCTCCGGTTCCAGGTTCCGGGCGGGAGCCGCAGCGCATCCGGCCCTTCCAGCTGGCCGTGGCGCAGAAGCTGCTCTCGCACGTGTGCTCCATCGCGGATTCCAGCACCCAGAACCTGGACCTGGGGTCCTTCGAGAAGGTGGACTTTCTGATCTGCATCCCGCCCTCGGAAGTGACCTACCAGCAGACCCTGTTCCACGTCTGGCACTCGGGTACGGGGCCCCTCGGGTGAGCTGGGGTGTCTGCGTGGGGAAGCTGCGACCTGCGTGAGTTCGGGTTGGAATTTGAACACCGGTCTTTGCTGCTGAAGCGGACGGGGCAGGAAGTATCGCTCCATTTTGTAGGCCATGAAACTGAGGCTGAGAGAGAAGGACTCGGTTAAAGGGAGAAGCGTGACAGGGTTTTCACTCTGCCCCACGCAGGCCCGTGACCTATGTGCTGCTGTCCTGCCTGAATGTGCTTTCCCTGTGCTTTCGAGGGAGCGGGATATGAAACACACGGAGAGTCACTGTGGCGGCCCCAGGGCCCGGGACAGTCAGGCGGGAGCTGGTTTTGCTGGGGCGGGGCCTGGCCTTCCCCTCCCTCCTGCTACCGTGCCTGGGCCCGAGTTGGTGACCCACTTCCTGGCGTGTGTGCACCGTGCGCAGGGGTTCTGCTGGAGCTCGGCTTGGACAAGGAGCACGTGACCAGGCAGAGGGTGGAGCAGCACGTCCTGAAGCTGGACGCCGAGGCGCAGGCACGGTTCCAGGTCTTTCTGCAGAACTCCTTCCAGAACCCGCACACGCTCTTCGTCCTCGTCCACGACCATGCCCACTGGGACCTCGTGAGGTTAGGGGGGCTCTGGGCGGGCACGTGCCTCCTCTGAGGTGATGTGTGTGGCTGACACTGGGACGGTGGGCACGGCCTCCCAAAGGTGAGCGCTGCGGGGTTTGGCATCCGTAGGCAGATGCGTGGATGTCGCAGAACCTTAGAGCTGGACGCTGTGGCTGACACTGGGACGGTGGGCACGGCCTCCCAAAGATGAGCGCTGCGGGGTTTGGCATTGAAGGCAGATGCATGGATGTCGCAGAACCTTAGAGCTGGACGTTATCCCAGGGCATGCAGTGCAGCCTCCGAAAGGGGCCATTATGGAAACTGAGGCTAGAGAGGGGAGCATCTGCTCAGCGTCGAGGGGCTGGGGGGCGGCGGGAGGTGCTCATGGCAGAGCCGGCCTGGAACGAAGGCCCTTGCACTACAGTCATTTAATTAAAATACTCATTTCCTGGTCATGGCGGAGCCAGAGGCTTCGATGGTCGGCAGCGTTGGGGGGCTAGTTATAAATGTACCCAACTGCTTCATCCTGGTCCAATGACGGGTCAGCATCAGCCATTCCACCCACTGCCCCGTCTCCTTGCCTCCCTCAGCAGCGCCGTCCATAACCTCTACTCCCCGAGCGACCCGTCGGTGGGGCTGGTGGACAGACTGCTCAACTGCAGGGAGGTGAAGGAGGCCCCCAACATCGTGACCCTGCACGTGACTTCCTTCCCGTACGCGCTGCAGACGCAGCACACCCTCATCAGCCCCTACAACGAGATCCACTGGCCCGCCTCCTACAGCGCCGTGAGTGCCGCTGCGGCCCGGGGCGCGGGGACCTGGGGGTGGGAGGACGTCTCTTCAGTAAAGATCTTGATTAACTAGGCTGCCTGGGGTTCACGTGGATCCCAGCTCCTTGAATTTTTTTTAAAAAAGTGTCTTAATTGATATCAGAGAGGAAGAGAGAGGGAAACATGAATGAGAGAGAAACATCTATTAGCTGCCTCCTGCACATCCCCTGCTGGAGAGGGAAACATGAATGAGAGAGAAACATCTATTAGCTGCCTCCTGCACGTCCCCTGCTGGGGATCGAGCCCACAACCCGGGCCTGTGCCCTGACCGGGAATTGAACCGTAATCTCCTGGTTCATGGGTCGATGCTCCACCAGGCCGGGCTACTTTGTCGTCTTAACAACCTCCCCAGCGTGGCTATGCTCTGAAGTTGGAGAAGCTCTGATGTTAGTTTGGGAGGAGTTCTATGCCAGTGTGAGTAAAATTGGTTAGATAAGTACATTTTTCCTGTTGATTTTAATAGCAGTGGAAAGCAAGAGAGTTGATCTGACTGTTCCTAAAACCAGTTTAAATTGTGGGAAAGAAGCCGTTTTAACCACCAGCGTTGTGTGTTACACAGTAGGGCTGGGTTCCTTCTTGACACGCACACTGGGGTCGAATGAATGGAAAGTCCCGAGCGATGGGGCCGCTCCGTCCTTCAGGTGCCCTGGGCTCGGTGTGCAGGGGAAGGAAATCAATAAAATCTCACCGGGGGCTGCCGAGTGAGCCCCGTGGAGATCCCGGTGCCCGCCCGGCGGTCTGTGCTCCCAGCCGCGACCCCTCCGTCTTCCACGTGCGATGTCTGCGTGACGATGCTCCTCTCGGTTCCAGGGCGCGGACTTGTATCCTGAGGACAGGAAGTACTTCGGGCTGTCCGAGTTCATCGAGTCGACCCTTTCGGGCCACAGCCTGCCCTTGCTCCGATACGACAGCTCCTTCGAGGCCATGGTCACCGCCCTGGGGAAAAGGTACCGTGTCCACGCTCCTCAGCTGCCCGGCCGGCAAGGGCAAGGGGAGGTGGGAGCAGCCAGGGCATTCCAGGAGGGGGCCGCCTGCCGCCCTCCCGGTGACCCAGTGCCTCCGGCAAAGGGCCCTGGGTTACGTCTTGTCCTGCGTTTGGGGCCAGTGGTGTCTCTGCCTCTCTAAGGAGGAAGGAGGAGGAAGAGGAGAGCGATGGGCAGGGGGGCCTTCAGCGAGCTGCCCGCCCTGTGGGCGCGTGGGGTGGCGTGGCCATGGCGAGGAGCCTGACCTTGTGGGTCGGGAAGTTTATCTTTGCTCCAAAGGCCCCCCGTCAGGGGCTCAGCCCGGCTAAGCGGACTCCTACGCACATCCGTGTAAACTGCGTGTCCGTCTCTGTGCTCCTGCTGAGACCCAGGGACCAGGGGTTCCGGGGTGTGTTTCGTTGTGGGGGGAGGGCTCACCTCCTCTGTGTGGAGACACACGTGGTAACCGTGGCTTCTGAAGCAGAACGGATTCCTGGTCTGACGGGATGTGTTCTGATTTGTGTGTGTGTGTGTGTGGTTCTTTATTTTTAGAGAGAGGAGAGGGATAGAGAGATGGAAATATCAATGAGAAAGAAACATTGATTGGCTGCCCCCCGCCCGCCCCCCCCCCCACTGGGGATCGAGCCTGCAACCTGGGCAAGTGCCCTGGCCGGGAATCGAACCGGGGACCTCTTGGTTCATGGGTCGATGCTCCACCACTGAGCCACACCAGCCGGGCGTGTTCCGTTTTGTAATTCACTCTCTAACTGATCCTGTTTCGTTGCATCTCTGTGAACTGTGGACTTGCTGTACTTGAAGGGAATGTACTGACGTGCCTTCAGGACAATCCCCCAAATCGGGGGCCCGTGGGAGCTGCGCTTACACACTGATTTGATGGCTGGTGGTTCTCCCACTTCCAGTGGGAACCTGGGGCACATGACCTAACTGAGGAGACTGTAAAGTACGCTGATGCGAGACTAGTAGGCGTTTATTTTATTCCTTCACTGAACCGGTATCTACTGAGCAGCAGAGAAACACCAGCAGCGGCAAACCTGTCGTGTTTCCAGCTGGACACGCAGAACAGCCCATGATTTCACCCCGAAGCAAGGCTGCTGGTTCGGGCTCCGGCAGCCGGCCTGACCTAACTGAGGAGACTGTAAAGTACGCTGATGCGAGACTAGTAGGCGTTTATTTTATTCCTTCACTGAACCGGTATCTACTGAGCAGCAGAGAAACACCAGCAGCGGCAAACCTGTCGTGTTTCCAGCTGGACACGCAGAACAGCCCATGATTTCACCCCGAAGCAAGGCTGCTGGTTCGGGCTCCGGCAGCCGGCCTCATGGGGACGCCGGCGCTGCGGGTGGCTCGGGGGCTG